TTTGTGAACAGCAAAGAGAAAAATAAACAAAACAAGCCTGGCACTTGCACGGCGAAACTCTTTTATCACCCACAGCGAACGTCCCCCCCCCCTTCCCCCCCCCCCCCCCCCCCCCTTCCTACTCAGGATAACTCTATCTGCTTTCCAATTTATATTTCAAACTTGATCATTTGGTATGTAGCACTATTTCAACAGTGAATCCAAGGGCTAACGAAAATATGAAATACTTCGACAAAAGTGATAAACATACATTATTACGTCCACAATTTAGGATTTTTAGTGATGCCGAACAAAAATGCTATTAGCTTGTTCTGTTAGCTTTCTTTTGTTTCTTTCGAGAACAGGAGTGTCCCGAAGTCACGAAGATTTGAGGGGTGAGCATTTGGGAATTGATGAGCAAAAAAAACATAAAAAGAATTCAGATTGTTCAAGGTTGGCGAGGTTTATCCCTCGACCCTGCTCTTCCTCCACTCGGAACACTCCTGTCTGAAAAAATAGCGTCGTGATCACGAGAGATCACGAGCCCTAAAAGCAACAGAATGATGATAACACCACTATGATTTACCATTATTACATTGTGATAACAAATTTTCATTAGTATTATTTTCATAAATATATTGCATTCTAGAATGAATAAATTGATGTTGATTATTTGTTGTTTCACTATTTCCAACCAACGATTGTTGAATAGAATTTGTTGAATGTCTGTTTTGATGAACAATCTAGATATGAAAAGAAGGAGAAAAAAAATGTCACAGAAAAGAGTTCTGCTCTTTTTTTTCATCATAGTGATTGCTAACAAATAAAGTAACAATCATTGACCACCTGTTTTTTCCAGACTTTTACTCTCAATTACAGCTAATTTTATTTTTTAAAAGACTTTTTATTCGTTAAAGAAAAAGACGCCGCCCCTCAAATAAAAAGTGAACAATATAGAGAACGATTATCACGTCAGGTAGTCCCATGCGGCAAATGATCAATAAGTCACACTAAATAAAGAAAAAGCAACTTTCTTATGTAAAACGGAAGAAAAAAAGAAGAAGAAAGCAGAACGAAGAATCTCTTCTTATGAGCAAAAGAAAAAAAATGTGCACACAATGATGACGACAATGATTAAAAAGAGAGAAAGGGTCACTTTTTTTCACTGTTATGCTTGAATGAACATTTGTGTGACCAAATCGAAAAATAAAAATAATGATATGAGACGAAAAGAAATGAAAACTATCAATGAATTCATGTTATTATTATCAAATAATCAAACAAATGATTTCATAAGATATTGCATCTCACGTAATAACGAAGTAATTGAAAAATTTTTAGACATAATGTTTGTTCACTTTTGACATATTTCCGACGAGCCAAAAGCTATCATTCAATACTCGTTTCGAATATAAGCTTAAAAATCTTGTTCGAGAATAATGAAATAACCTTTGAAAAATCCGAAAAATTAGTTTGAACAGAACATTCATGTATACTTACCATTATTTAAAGTTTACTTTTTTTTGTCTTTCGACAGGACATTTCAATTTTCCTCAATGCTTATTTTTGAAAAATCGAGAAGTGTTTTACGTTGAAACGAGATCTTGAAAAAATGCTCATGTAAAAACTATAGCTTAGTTCAATCAGTGGCGAATTTAGGGAGGGTATGATGGGGCGATCGCACCCCCCCCCCCGCACTTCGAGAAATATTTTGCGATTTTCTCCAACAGAAACGAACGAAAAACAAGTTCATATAACCTTGAATGTATCTCAAAATGTGTTTTTTGCCTACGATCACACTCCTCCTTCTAAAATCCTAAATCCGCCACTGAATTCAATATCACATATTGTATAGAAATGTCCGCTTTACTACACGAATGACTGCGCCAGTTTTGATCATGTTCGAAAAAGAACTTACATAACGGTTCTAACGTCATATTCAAAACCACCACAAAATCATAGCTTTGTGACTCATTTTTTGTTTTGGAAAACGTAAAATAGGACGTATATGTCAAGAAAAACAGTGAATTTAGTGAAAAATCATCAAACTTCATTAGATTCTTAGATTTTGCCGTCAAGTAGAATGATGTAATTGGTTCTATGAAAGACTTTGTAACCTCATATCATAATATAGATGCCATAAAATCTAACATCTGATGATGTGTAACATTAGATTTTTAGTAAACTTTGCAGTGTGATCGAACAATAATAACTCTAAGATTTTACGGGATTCTGTTTGTCTTCATTGTTATTCTAAAAGATTGTGAGTGTATAGATTTCATAGATTCTCGAGTACTTTCGGATCCAAAAATTAACTTGTTTCCCTTTGATATACATACATAATGGTACTGCATGATGATGCTATGTAATACTGATTACATGCATGAAGGAGACAAAATTGTTATGGTCTAGTGAAGATAGATGACTGTACAAGTTAGAATCTGCACAAAGCCTTAAAACGTATACATACATTTCCAATCGCCAAAGGGTTAAAGACTATTGTCTTTTTTTTTATGCATTCTTACCATGGTTTGTTTGACGGATTTCGAAATCAAATGACAAATCAATTGAGGAAAAAAAAGGAAAGTCTATTCAATATTGGTTAATCTTATAAATCAATATTTTCTTTTCTTTTCCTTGTCTTTTCTGTGATATTACTCAATGGAGAAATGATTTCTTTCACCAATCAAAATATAGACAGAAAGAGAATAAAATCTATGATAAATAATCATTGGTTAGAAAAGACAAGAAAAGAAAAGTAATTACAGGTAATTTATATATGCATGATTGAGTCAACTCTTGATGATATGTGTGGAATATTTTTGTTTATTATTACTGAAATCAAGAATTTATCTAACGTTACATCAAAAAATAAAATATTATTCTACGCCTTTATCAAATGAACAAGTTTTCTGTGAAATTGAGATAGCATTCATATTTCAAAGAATTATTTATTGATATTGATGAAGTTATAAGGAATACATGATCCAGTGTTGAATTTAGAGGCGGCGTGGGGGGTGGGTGGGGCTTACCCCTTTCTTTCGAAATAGTTTTTGGTTTTTCTCAACACAAAACGTTCACTAATTTGACTTGAAAACATGTTTTATGACTATGATCCTTCCTTCTCCAAAATCCTCGATCTACTAGTAAATTAATTCAGTTTATTTAAAATCGAATATAAAAGTTATATATTTCATTGTACATACCTGAAATTATTCTAAAATAGTATATCTTGTATTGTAAAATCAATAGAAATCTTGTCTAGAAACGAAGATAAATATCTCTTGTAGAAATGTAGACATGAACTTTCTAGATATTTCAATCAGTATTTTATCCAGCGCGGGGGCGGCACCTGTTCAGATATCGAGTTAGTTGTCATCGAGTTTGGAGTTCTTGTGACATATATTATGTGTCTGTATTATCAACAATAGGTGTTCATCCTCTGGAACTATTAAATCATCTTGCCAGAAGAGAAAAACCTGGATAAAACACTGCTTCTATATACACAAAAATCTGTTAAATACATGTTGTTTTCTATTGACATCTTTCTAATTATAATAAATATCTGCATGCCAGATCAATTTTTCTTTTCTTTCTCTATGATTAAAAAAAAATGAATGTGTATATATTCGATCTCAATCTTCTGACAGATACAATTTCTTCTAGTTCATTATTAACTGTTCCGCCCACATATTCCAAAAATAATTCACATCTGTACATACATGCAATTTCCCTATTCAATTATCAGAAGCAAATCAAGAAAGTGTAAACACTATTGATAATTCATGATTGTGTCGTTTCAATGTTAACTAACCGCATATAATACACAGAATACAATGAAAAGAAAAATTTGTTCGTTCGAGAAATCAAATAAATGCATATGTATAATGACATCTTCATATGAAATATTCTTTTTGTTTTTTTCTATATATAGAAAAAATGAAATCAAGTGGAATTAATTGAATGTGAGTGCTATCATCATCTTTTCACTTAGAAAAAAGAAAATTCATTTATTTGTTTTCAATATACACATCTGCAGTTATCCGATGAACAATATTAGATGATTGAATGACAGATTTCATTGATTTTTGTTTTTAAAAACGACTTAACATGCAAGTCAGAAGTCAACAAAACAAATATGAAATCAATCTCTAAGAAAACAATTATAACTCGTGCCCACCTATGATTGTTTTCTTTATATACAATATATCAATCAATAAGAAAATCGAAAGAAATAGGCACGAACATGAATGTTCATCATAGACATATATATATACACTTACGTTTTATCGTCGTTGTTTGTCATTATATTTAGATTGTATTGAATTTTTTTTTGGATTCTTTTTGTCTGCGTCTCCAATTCTTTACCATCTAAAATAAGCATCATTTTACACAATACCACCGAACTAGACAATGACAACTAAATGAGTATATGTATGTGTGACATTTTCATGAGCTCAAATGCTTTTCTCGTTTTCCATTTTTTTTCTTCAAGCTACCGTACACTTCTGCTCTAAATTTGATGACAATTGGGCCTCAATTCAAGTCATATGTCCCTTTAGGCCCTATCATGGGTAGAGGGTTAAATAAATCGCAAAATAGCAATTCAAGTCATATATTCGTTTTTTTTATATAGAAAAAAAGAAAAAGAAGCAACACACAAAGACAAGAATAATGGTCAATGAAATTAGCAACAACAAGAAAAGTTAGAAATATTTTCACGACCAAAAGAGAAAAAAAACGATACATAAATGAAACAACAATTTATATATCAAGATGATGATGCTCGATTGCTATATGCAGCATAAGCACGTTGAGCAGCACTTGCTGTTGATGATGAAACAGTTGGGGGTGCTGATATAGTCGTTGCTGATTGTTGATTACTATTATTCGATGAAAACTAAAAATGAAATGATTATTTTTCTTTTTCTTTTGTTTTTAAATATCGAAATATGAAAATAATTTAATAAGTTATATTATCTCGAACTTACCTGGTCTTTTTTTGAAAATTTCCCTTTTTTTCTATTTCCTTCAAAATTAAACAATTTCTGCGAAATACGAATTTATCAAGAGACAATAAAAGAAATAACAGTTTTTCATTCGCAAAGACAGAAAAAACAACTAATAGAACGCAATCAGTCAATCAATAATTATACTCTCTTTCTTTTATTGAGTATATAAGAGTCACTTGAGTTGATACCTGACAATTGTATTGAAATGTCGAAGACAAATAATTGATCATTGTCAGATGCGTACATGTGTTACATATTTGTCTGCAAATGGCACTAGTAAAATGAGGATAGACGATATCAACCGAGCGCAACGATAGATTATTTCCCCGAGAAAAAAAACAACTTTGTCGCACATTTTTGAATCTTACAAAAAAAAAGAATTAAATATTAATTTTACCATTGAAGTTTTTCTTTTTAGTATTAGTTCTGAATTTTAATTGATATGAAAAATTTTTTAGTCTTAACTAAGAAACTTACAACAATAGCCAATAAACATATATACCATTGACATAATCGATCATTGATTACATTTTAATGTTTCATCTGGGAAGTTAAGACTTCATCTGTGTGTGCGTGTGTGTAATCAAGTCACTCCATGCTAGAAACAAGAAGTAGGACGCGACACTCGAAAA